GTGTGTGTGTGTGTGTGTGTGTTTGAGAGAGATCATGTGACATGTGAGGTGGAACAAGGTGCACCCCTGGGGAAAGACATGAGAGCAGAGCTAACCAGGAAATGTGTAGCATGTGTGATGGTGTGAAGTGCACTTGGTTCCAGTTCATCAGCACAGAGGATATATGAGTTTTCATATACAACCCAGGGGACAGTTTAGATGATGAACAGCATCCAAGTGAGCCGCAAGTGTGTTTTTCATTTCACTTCTGAAACGTTCCACAGCTTTACAGACACATTTACTGAGCATAATCTATACAATTTACAATTCATCGGGACATTTGCAACTTGTGTGAGTTGGACTTTGGCTTGGTTGTAATGCGTTTTCACCACAAGTCAATAGAGATGTTCTGCTACCATTTTTCCCTTCTCCATACAAACTCTGTTACGTGGACTACGCGTTTCAGCCGATACCGAGTACCGATCTGATACCAGTGCATTTAATATAAATAACAACTTATATAAATAACGCAATTTAACAGCTGTAGGCTTCTAACCCTGTACGGAAGTGATGATTGTCGTCATTTTTGTATGGCCTGGCTCAGGTTACTATATATAGACAGAATTTATTTTAAAAATAGAAGATCTTTTCAGTATTGCCACCACTCAAAACTGAAGTCTTGCACATGTTAAGCGTCAATGATTTACTCGTGGGACTTTCCACTGTGAAATATTTCCAAATTCCTGATGTTGTAGCTAGGTCTTGCTATAGCGCTACATTACCAGAAACCACTTCTTCACATTCTAGTACAACACAGCAGAAGAAATAATAACCTGGAAAAGAAAATTGCAGTAATACCAATATTCTTTAAAGACGTGGTATTGGATCTGTAAATAGATACATACTCGCTGGTGCCCAACCCAGCGTTTTTGGCAGTAACTGAGGCCGATGCTGGAATTGGTATCAGAACATCTCTACTGCTCACCATATGAGAGAAGTCCAGTTACTAATCATTTCTGTGATTGCTACTTTCAATATGTAGCATTGAAAGTTTATTTTTAAATGTTATGTGACCTCCATCCTAACTTTTTTCGTGTTGTGCTTTTTTGTGCCCCCTCAACTCACCTCTGACAATGGCTGTGACCTGATCTCTGCTGGTCCCAATGCGGTTCCTGACCTCGCAGACAAAAGTGGTGTTGACAGCCTCGTCCACCTTGAGCACCTTCAGCTCGTTGCCAGTGATCTGCACTGTGTCTGGCAGCTCTCCTGACATTCTGCAGCCACAGGAGTATATGTGCCATGAGGAAGAAGAAAAAGGAGAAAATAAACTGAGAATTGGGTTGTGGTCAGTTCGGCTTCCAGCAGAATGAGAGCATTTAGACGGACTGGACGTTTACAGAAATGTGATGTAGTGTGCTCTGTCATCAAATTCAGTTTCCTGTGCCCTAAAAGCCAATCCATTATCACTCAGTGGAGGAAAACACGATGGGGACAGGAGGAAAATCAAAACTGCTGGACCCAGGCCAAACTCGCTTCTAGAAAAAACTGGAACTTGTGTGTGTGGAAAGCATTTTGTGATTTGTAACTCTGGTGCTACTGTGTTGTTTTAATTCCTTTTTATCTTACTTATATTGCAACTATGTTTTTTTTTTTTTTTTTTAAATGGGATAGTTTGAAAAGCATAGAGCTTATGATGTCTGATCGACTGAGCGAGCCACATGGCTTTCATAGTACTGCCATACAAGACAGTAGCTGGTACGACGCCAATGTACAACTGAAGATTATTATTTTCAATCAATCTGACAGAGCTTAGATATGAAGGTTACACAACTATTCCTGTTTGAAGGAATTTAAAAAAAATTCTCTACCTTCATGTTATGATGTGGCGCTCAAAATTGAATACCTTTCATTTTCATTCATTCGTTTGACGCACTTTGTAACCTTATTTAGATGAGTTATTATTATTATGATATTATTTTTCCGTTTATATTAATAGCTGATGATACTGAAAAGGGGGAGAGAGAGACTTGTATTGTATTGCTCATTATGCGAGGGTTAAATCTAAAGTCACACAGTCCATTATGAGAAATTATACGGTTATCTCCATAATCAGAGCACAGGGTAGAAGTGGCAATAATAAAAGCGCTGATTACAACTCTGTGAGCACTTTGGACCTGAGAATGAAAGGAGGGGAAGAATGGGAGAAAAAGAAAAGAGGAAGAGAAAGCCAGAGAATGTGGTAAAACGAGACAGAGCTAGAGGAGACAATATAGATTCCAGGAAGTGCTGATACTCACGTCTTCCACAGGACAGAGATCGGAACGGGGTTTCCAGTAGCTTGGCAGGTTAGCACCACATTTGTACGACCCAAGTACCAATTATTGTCATAACCCACGATCTTCACCTGAGGGGCGTCTGAGGGATGGAGAGATGAATGGCAGGGGGAGGGAAAAAATAGCAAAAAGTTCAATTAGTCACTCCATGGTTTGAAATAATGTTGGACTGCACACAGCGAAGGAATTAATGAGCGCTGGATTGTGTGTGTGGTGTCTTACATTGAACTGCGAGCTTCAACAGGAAGCTCTCTGCTTTAACCTGTGTCCTGTGCGCCACCACACAACTGATGTCCTTCCCGTTGTCCTTTGCTGTGGGAACCATGAGGTACTCGCTGGTCACCGTCACCGTGTTGTCGGCGCCCGGCTTTGACACTATCGTCCCGTTGCCATTGGCCGTGGTCACCCAAGAGATCTGGGCAGGGGGACGACCATCTACGGACTCGCAGCGCGCCACCACCACCGGCTTAGTGCCCGCTTCCACTGTTACGATGGAGGCCGAATTCTGAGGCTTAGCTGATGGACGGATTGATGCGAGGTCGGAGGGTGGATGGAGTGCCAGAAGGGGACACAGAGTGGCAGAGAGAAGATTAAGGGATGTAGAGATAGATCAAATGGAAATAAGACAGCTGAGGGAAAAGATAATGTGCACCATTATTGATAAACAATTTGAGTCACCAGTCTAGCAAAAGCAAATCCAAAACCTCAATCTCCAAACATCCTGTCATCCAGCTCCCCCCCACCCCTATCTTTTCTCTCTCCCCAGCCTAAACTGACAAACAATTATGAGCACCACAGCAAATACACCCAAACCCTAAATCTTCTTTCACTTTTACCTCCATTTCTTTAATCTACTCCCTCTCAATCCCAATTGATAAACTAGAACTGACTGGTCCAGTGTATCTCCATACACAAATTCGACATCGCTACACGATTCCTGTCAGGCCTCCATCCCCTCCGCTCCATCTCACTCCTCGTACCTCCTCCACTGCCCTGTGCGATACTCGTGTGGGTTCAGAGGAGAGCAGGAAGGACAGAAGCTGACAGCAGGCATGACAAGCAGCTAGATCAATACAGAGCCTGGGGGGAGGCAGGGAGGCATGATGCGTTGGAGGGAGAAGAGAGCGAAGCAGAGGCACTGGTGCCGGGCCAAGGTTAGACCAATGGTTCCATTGCATTAACAAGAACACAATTGATCTGACAATACCACTTAAAACAGCAATTAAGGCGAGCTGGACACGCTTTTAACCTGCAAACTACCTTTGGGGGAGGGAGAGGGTTTGATAGAGAGAGAGGGGTAGGCATATGGTACTTTGCATTTATACATACAGCATGAAGATTAAGATGAAGAGTAAGTGACCTACCCAGCATGACCAGATAGGTGATGCCCTGCTCGTTGCCAATTGGGTAGGTGGCATATTCACAGATGTACCTCCCCTCATCCGTCATCCTCACATCGCTGATCTGGATGGAAGGGCTGTCCAGCTTCGGTTGGGGCGACGAGAAGCTGACCCTGCCCTTCATAGGTGAATCGGGGTAGCTGGGATCAAATTTGGGGTGAAACACGGCGATGTTGATCCTATCGCCCTCCTTTGGCTCGTAGATCCACGTCACCTGTGGAGCAGGAGCAGGGTCAGACGGATGGGGAATGTGTACATTGATAGAGAAAAACAACGGTCCTTTGTTTATCAAGGGATTGATAAATGGATAAATGGAAAGAGTTTTGAGACATGCATTTTGCAGTGAACTCCACAGGGCAGTGTAAACAGCATTACAATCAAATAAGCGGAGCAGGTATGAATATGGATGTGAGTGTTTCAGAGGGAGAGATGCTCTCTAACTCTCTCTCTCTCTCTCTCCCTCAGCTGCCCTGCGTGGATTCGAGTAGAGTTGTGCACTTCCCACTTCATTGAGATGCGACTAAGAAGTGTTTCCATTACCATATTTAATCCCCTGAAGCAAAATGAAGCTTATATTGTTTGTTTGGAGAAATAAAACATTAAGCCTAAATGTGATAAAAACCTATTACTAGCTTTAGGATTATTTCTGCGGGCTATGATTTGTTAGATTAAGGTTTAATGTGCAAAATAAACAAAGCACATGGATGTGTATTATCATTTTATTTCTATTTTGATTGGGGTTTCACACACCTGCAGAATTAGAGCAATGCATAATGGACAAATACTTTACAGGAAAAGGTTTGTTTTGTCAGATATTAAATTGTGTGCTTTACGGCTGATGTCTTTTCACTTTAGTTGTGAAAGCAAATTGGAATCCAGAGCAATTTCAGCAAATTATTTATTGTCAAATCAGCAGAGAAACTGACATTTTTATTGGAATTTCATTCCACAAGCACAGTTTAGATTTGGAATCAGTGCACTGGTATAAAGAAGCAATAAAATCCGAGGTGAAAAACTGCATCGTGGTTGTGTAAATCTCACCATTGTGAGCTGAATCCCTGTTTCATCAGTGAAGGCACAGCGTAGGTTCACCGTCTGGCCAGGATACGACAACACCTCCGCCTCCACCTTCACTCGCTGACCTGCCGCTCCTAGAGAGAAAGAAAGACAGAGTCATTAATGTCTCTGGTTTCTTTCATTTACAAACTGAGAGAAGAGAGAAGAGAAAGCAGAGCTGAGAAATTGCACTGGTACAAAGCGCGCTGATGATAAATGAGGACAGTGTGGAAGTGTCTGGTACAACAGAGGACAGCGTGGAAGTGTCTGGTACAACAGAGGACAGCATTAGTGAACCCAGGCAAGTAGGCCAGGAGTCTGGTATCTCTCCATGACTGTGCGTGTGTGTGGATGGAGAGGCTGATAGAAAAAAAGAAAGGGATTTGTGCTGGGTAAAAAAAGACAGAGGGAAGCCAGTTCTTTTTTGCACACAGGTCATAAATCATCAGGATTGGTTATGCTTTTCTATAGCCTGCCATTTGCTGTGCCAACACATTCCTGTGTAACCGCTAAGAGTCAAAATAAATATGCTTCTCATGGTGTGTTGTGTCAGTGGGTGTGTGTGAGAAACATAAAGAGCAAGGGAGATTTAGAACGACAATCTGTGTGTGTGTGTGTGTGTGTGTGTGTGTGTGTGTGTGTGTAGGTGTGTGTAATCCAGTCTGTGTGAAAATGTAATTACTTGTATGAGTAAGCGTGCATTAGTGTATGGCAGCAAGATGGCCACGGTTTTAAGTAAGAGTGGATTACCTGTATAACTTCAAATGTCTGCAGCGGGGACTACGTGTGTGTGTGTGTGTGTGTGTGTG